AATCATCAACTTCCATCTTTTCATTCAGATCTCATCTCAAATCTATTCTTCCCATTCGCTGTACTTCACTCACCTCTAATATATCGTTGCTTCATTGTCCCTAATTCGCTCTCCTATCTTCATCTTATCCAATTTCACTCCACATTCTTATTCTCGCATTCAGTTTCCATATTCAGCTTTCATCTATCCCCATTCTCTTCTAAACGCTACTTAAACCTTGCCTTGTAGCTAACCTCACCTATACATCCTCCCTTTCACACTTTGCAACTCATCTCTCTATCCGCATGCATTCGTACTACGCAATAATGACAACTCCATATGTATCATCGCCCCCTCCTCTAACACTCTTCGTGTGTGTCTATATAATACATATACACATTTCCAATGTTTCATCGTGACTCCTCAGAATTACTCTTCCCTCTGCACCTAATCACCACAATTTTCCCTTGATCTATCTAATCGTAACCTGTCAAATATTCTCACCTCCCATCTCCCTTTCCACAACCCTCAATCTCCCCACTTACCTTTAACAACTCACTTCTCTCCTCACTATCCTAACCCACATTCTCACCCTCCCTCTTTCCCTGTGCACCATGTACTGATACTTCCAGACTATCCTTCACATCCCATTTCATCAATCCTCACCTCCCCTCCTTCACAGCTCGCCCATCCTCAACCATCCCTAACACCTTCTGCACCTTCCCTTACCATCTTCCATTCCCATCCTGCTATCTCTCAAGCCCCTCGCCCTTCACATCCCATCGTCATAAACCTCACTCATCCCTCCCACCTACCCGCGTCCTCAACATCCACTCTCCATTTAACATCTCACTCGTCCACGGCCTTCCCTTTCACATTCCAATCCTCCTCCTCTCTCACCTCCAACCTCCCCCTTTCACATCCATCTCAAACTTATATTTCACAAACCTCCCGTCTTCAAACATATACATATATACTCTTCTTCTCCATCTCGCCTCCTCACTCCTCCTCTCTCTCTCTCCTCGCTTCCGCCACCCCTTTGCTAATCAACCAGATCTCCAATCTCACCTCTCCGCCTCCCTTCAACACTCTCTCTCTCTCTCCACTCTACCACCCGTCGCCCTTTTCCAACATCGCCTCCTTCCTCTATAATCTTCCCGCTCCCGTCCCCCCTCCTCCCCGATCCCATCTCAATTTCCCCACCTCCCCTTCCAGCATCCATCTCAAATGCCCTCACCTCCCCACCTTCCCTCTAACATCCCATCTCAAATCTTCGCGCACTCTCCCCCCGTTCATCATCCATCTCAAATCCTTCACCTCCCACCTCCCTTCACATCCCATCAATCAAATCTCACCTCCCGCCATCCTTTCAACATTGCCCTACCTACTCTAATAATCTCACCTCCCGGGCCTCCCGTTCACCTCCCATCTCAAAATCTCGAGCCTACCCACGCTCCCTTATAACATCTCATTCCCATCTCCTCTCACCTTCCCTTTCACATTCCCATCTCATCTCAACTAACCCACCTCCCTTCACAATCCCATTTCTCAAAAATCTTCACCTACACAAGACCTTCTCCACCCATTCCCAGCTCTCAAATACTCACCTTCACCTCCCTTTAACATCTCATTCTCATCTCACCTAAACCCACCTCCCACTTCACCATCCCATCTTCAAAAATCTCATACTACCAACTCCTCACATATACACATACCTCTCTAATCTTCTATTCTCATCAACTCCCACCTCCCCTGTCCTATCAAACATCTCAAATTCTCACCTCGCGCACCTCCCTTTACATCTCATTCCCATCCACCTCCCACTCCCTTCACATCCCGATCTCAAAATCTCACCTCCCCACGCTCCGGTTCACAATCCGCGATCTCTCTTACTTCCTTCAGCAGACCCTTTTTCAGCCGTAAGGACCATACCACTTCGCATCCTATCTCCATCTCATATATCTTCCCATCTCTTCGCCGCCTCCTTTACAGTGTGTCATTCTGATCCCTCAGCCTACCCACTCCTTTTCCGCAATCCCATCGTCACAATCTCGACTCGCCATATGTAACAGTTCTTGTATCCGCATCTCATACCTTCGCCACCTCCTTTGACATCCTTATCTAAATCTCTACTCCCGCCTCCCTCCCACAATCGCTCAGTCTTCAGAAGATTCTCCGCTCCGTCTCTCCTCCTTCTCACATGCCTCATCTCTAAATCTCACCTTCGCCATCCTCCCTTCACATCTCATTCCCATCTCATCTCCCACCTCCCTTACTTCCCGAGTCTCAAAATCTCACCATCCAGCCTCCCATTCACATCCCACTCAAATCTCACTCGCGCCTCCCTTCGACAATCCTCATCTCAAAATCTCACCTTCCCACCTCCCTTCAGCATCCCATCATCAAATCTCACCTCCGTCCTCCCTCACATCAGTCCGATCTCAAAATCTTCACCTCCCGCTCCTCCTTCACATCCTCCATGTCAAGATTCTCACCTGCCACCCTCCCTTCCATCTCAAATCTCATCCTCCCAACCTCTCCATTTATATCTCATTCCCATACGTCACCTCCCACCTCCCTTCACATCCCATCTCAAATCTCACCTCCCGCCTCCCTTCACATCTCATTCCCATTCACCTCCCACCTTCTGTTCACATCCCATCTCAAATTCTTCATCGTACCTCTACTCTACACAACTTCCATCTCATTCTCCATAACCCGCCTCCTTCCTCAATCCATTCCCATCTCACCTCCCACCTCCTTCTGACATCCCATCTCAAATCTCACCTCCCTCCTCCTTCACATCTCATTCCAATCTCACTCCCACATCCCTTCACATCCCATCTCAAATCTCACCTCCCGCCTCCCTTCACATCCCATCTCAAATCTCACCTCCCGCCTCCCTTCACATCTCATTCCTATCTCACCTCCCACCTCCCTTCACATCCCATCTCAAATCTCACCTCCCACCTCCCTTCACATCTCATTCCCATCTCACCTCCCACCTCCCTTCACATCCCATCTCAAATCTCACCTCCCACCTTCCTTCACAGCTCCCAACGACTCTTGCCCCGCCCCCTTCCCCGTCGCCAGCAAGGTCTATATAAGTATTATATTGAGACCTTGGTCGCCAGTACTCACCCGTCCACAGGCCCGACCACTTCGAGTCTCGGGCAGCCCACGAACATGAGTGCGATGAAACCCGCGCAACCAACGATGGTCGTGAAGATGTTGTATCCCATGATGAGTCTTGGCCTCGGGCGCACCCATCTGATCACACTGCCGCCCACGGCCGCCCCGACGACGGATACGATCAGGCTGGACATACCTGTGACGTGGGGTGAGAGATGGAAAGATGGATTTTTGTGAGTTTGTTGCGTGTCTGGAACCGTTTTCTCTGTCTGCTTCTCGTGTCTTCTCTCTTTCTCTCTATTTTTGTTTCTCTCTCCCCCCCCCCCGCCTCTCTCCTCTCTCTCTCTCTCTCCCTCTCTCTCTCTCTGCTTCTCTCTCTCTTTCTCTTTTCTCTTTCTCCTTTCTCTTTCTCTTTTCTTTTCTCTTCTCTATCTCTATCTCTATCTCTATCTCTATCTCTATCTCTATCTCTTCTCTTTCTCTTTCTTTCTCTCTCTCTCTCTCTCTCTCTCTCTTCTCTCTCTCTCTCTCTCTCTCTCTCTCTCTCTCTGTGCTGTCTCTCTCTCCTCTCTCCCCTCTCTCTCTCTGCTGTCTCTTCTCCTCTCTCTCTCTCTCTCTTCTCTCTCTCTCTCTCTCTCTCTCTCCTCTCTCTCTCTCTCTCTCTCTCTCTCTCTCTCTCTCTCTCTCTCTCTCTCTTTCCCTAATGTATCAACTTTTTTTTTCGTAATTCATAAATGACTCTTTAAAGCAATTTTTGAAATACGCACTTTTGATATGATTAAATTTGGTAATGTAAATCATAATACTTACAATATTTTAAAAATCGGAAGACGGTCACAAAGAAAAAAATGATTCTTTATAGTAATAACGTATGTGTAGTTGATAAAAGTGGGATCAGATGAATGAATAAAATACAATGAGTAAATGTAAAAGTAAAAGTTTTTTTTTCTTTTTTGCAAAGACATCCAATATTACCATTGCAAACACATTCTAATTTACATTTTTGTTCTTGTTAAAACTGATCTATGCCGTAAATAATAATAAAATATAAAATAAAAGTGATTCAAGACAATCAATAGACCAAGATTTTCAGACAGACCAAATTAAAGAACATTGTGTTCTAAAACTAACTCAAATAAAAAATAATTTGCATCCGTAGCCCTTATGTAGAACCAATTTCTTGCAATTTCTACTAATTATTACAAACAACAAACAGACACACAAAAGATTCACATCGACCTTTTCGAAAATCAAACCCAACCTGTGTACGTATAACATATTTCCAACATTTTAAACTAATTTAACCATGACAAATAACTATCCTAACTAAAAATAAAAATAAATACAAAAAAAAAAAAAAAAAAAAAAAAAAAGTAACTATTTTTGAAATATTTGCATCCTTAACCCTCATGCAGAAGTATAATGCTTACAGAATAAACTGCAACAAAGAAACTCATAAGAGAAACAAAAATACCAACACCGATCTTTCCGAAAATATAAACCCGGTTGTGAGCAGAAACCCCGCAACCTCTCATATGAAATGATTTGCATCCGTAACCCTCATCTGGACCCATTTCCAGTATTTCTTTCTAAATACTACAAACAAGAAAACCTCCCAAAATGAATTAATAAATAGATAAAACAAAATAAATCAAATGAATAAATAAAACAAAAATCCACACCGAACTTTCCACAAAAAAGAAAAAAGAAATCAAACCCCATTTGTGAACGAAAACAGCCCTCGCCTGTAAAATAGTTTGCGTCCGTAGCGCTCCCTCGGACAAAACTAAATAAATCATATGATTAAACAAAACAAAAATCCACACCGTACTTTCAAACATACCCAAAAAATCGAATCCCACCTGTGGACGAAAACCTAAACAAACATCCCTCACCTGTAAAATAGTTTGCGTCCGTAGCGCTCTTCCGGAACTGATTCTCCATGTACTTGGGCTTGAAACTCCAGTAACCCGAGACGCCGAGGAGGGTGAAGATGGCGTTGAACAGGTTGCCCGTCCAGATGCGATTCGTGAAAAGTCGCCGGAGGGCTTTTATTAGGTCTGGGGTGAAGAGTGGATAATTATGAGGGACGGGTGATAAAGGTGATGCTTTATATATATAATGGCTATGTTAATATTAGTCACAATGTATGGTTTTTATTGGAATTATGATGACAGTGGTAAATGATGATGATTAATAATATAATATGATATAATCATTAATCATGTAATGTTAAGATGATAATGATAATGGTAATAGCAATAGTAAATGATAATGAATCGATAAAAATAATGATAATATAGATAATAATTGAATAATAATTATAACTAATTATAATAATTAATAATAAAGGTAATTATTATATAATGATAATAATGATAATAATATTATAACCATATAATAATTAATATAATACATTTAATATCTGATACATGATTACTTCCCTATTTACTCTAACACTCATCATTATCATTATCATCTATCATCGCCACTCTGTTCGTTCATCGCCATCTCCAAAATTTTTACCATTTGATTTCTCCCCGATCTCTGACTCCCCATATATAAGGAGCGCTTTTTCCCCTCGCACTGAAAAAGCCACAACAAAATCTAGTTCATACTTTTTGATTGTCGGTCGAGATTCCGTTTTCTCTCTCTCTTTCTTGGCCACTCCTGCGGCGAAGTCCCCTCGAAGCTCCTTAAGTCTCCCTCCTCTTCCTTACTCCCTTCTTTAATCCATCTGCCTTTATCATCCTTTTCGCTTCTCCTCCTCAGCTGTGGCCTCCCTGACGTGTTAGCTTTTGTTTGGGAAGAATAACAAGATAGGCTTTGTCCCTCTCTGATGGCCCAGGGCGACGCCGAGGAAACGAAGCCTGTTTTTGGGAAAAAAAATTCTCTTTTTTATTACTCTTGTTTGTTTTATTTGTTTTTTATTTCTGTTCCAGGGAAAAAAATTCTCTTTTTTATTATCTCTCTGTTCTGGTTCTTGTTTTTATTTGTTTTTATTTCTGTTCCAGGGAAAAAATATATTTACTCTGTTTTATTGTTTTTATTTCTGTTCCAGGAAAAAAAATCTTTTTTTATTACTCTTATTTGTTTTATTTGTTTTTATTTCTGTTCCAAGTAAGCCTTTTTGGTCTTTAGAAGAGACTTGAGAGTATGAGTTGCTGCAATTGAGACGTGTTGAAAGATGTAATGTTTTCTAATGTAGCAGTTAATGAAGCGCGTCGTGTTATGATTTTCAATAACATAAAATATATGCGAAGTTGCAGCATTTTACGTGAATCACTTAACAATAAGTATATATATAATGCTACTGTTTCATTTCCTCATTTGTTTAAACACATTTAAAGAGAGGCAGAACGGAAACTATTCCTTCCATTTAGTTCAAAATATTATCCCATGTAAATCGAAGGGAAAGGGAGATTATGTGTGTATTAAGATTGAAAAAAAATACATGATTGAATTACATGATACATGAATCAAGTTATTAGTAGTAAATATATTAATAAATAATAATTGATATAGAATATGATAATCTATGATATTACATGTGATAAAATATAATGATAATATAACAATTTAATTATATAACAATTAAATGATATATAATAATAATGAATATAATATATATATAATAATCATAATAATATATATGAATAACATAATCAATAATATATAATAATTATGAATAATTAATCAATAGTAATAACTTTTTAATAATAATAATCATAATCATGATCATAATAATGATAATGATTTTAGAAAAAAAGGAAAGTTTATAAGAATTCCCCGCAACTCCCCGAGGCGAAGGACCCCACCTATCCACCACGCCCCGAGCCACCGGGGATCCTTCTGGCTGATGTTGGGCTTCTTGGACGGGTCGATCCACAGCGAGAGGCAGCGACCGCCCAGCACGAAGCCGAACACGGGGCCCAGCACTCTCAGGAGGGACACGAGAGCTGAAGGAACACGAGGACTTCATCAGAAAAAAAATTAATTCGATTTGGAGGGAAGAAAACGAAAGAAAGAAAGAAAGAAACGGAGACTGGAAAAACAAGTAAGGAATCACTGACCGCCTACAATGCTTAAGGTGCTGTCACATATTTTATCTAGCATTAAATACAAAAACATTCTCGAATATAGCTCTTGATATCTGACTATGCTTGGCTGAAAAAAGTTGACGCAAAGGTTTTCAGACGGAAACGATTCATTATCGTCTGACTGGAAAATCGACAATTCGCTCAAAAATGGGGGAAAAAAATCAGAAAATTGTAAAAAAAAGGAAAAAGTGCTAGTGTGACAGCATCTTTAGACGTATTTCAATAACCTACTGTAAAAGATAGGATATGTCTTTTTGCTGATGTTGTCGTCGAGGTACGTGACGCCAAC